TCATTTGAGATGAGTACTCCAAGATCCTTGACAGAGTGAGGGTTGTCTACGAGGTCGTATCCTCCCAGCTTGTATTTTGTGTTTTGATTTTTTTTGCCAATGTGTAAGACAGAGCATTTGTTGGTTGAGATTTGGAGTTGCCAATTGTTTGACCATTCTGACAGATAGTCAAGGTCTTTTTGTAGGGTAGCAGTATTGTCGGTTATGTTGAATAGTTTTACATCATCAGCAAAGAGAACGCTATTGCTTATAATATGATCACAAAGGTCGTTTATGTAAAGTATAAAGAGTGTGGGTCCTAAAACACTTCCTTGGGGGACACCGCTGTTAACAGGTGCAGGGTTTGATAGTTCTCTATTTTGACTACTTGTTGCATGTTTGATAGGAACGCAGCTAGCCACTTATGCAGGGATCTGGAAATGCCATAAGGTTTTAGTTTTAGAAGTAGTTTGTTGTGTATCTACTAGAATCTTCAAATTTGCTTGTTGTGTCTTATCTTGAGAATTATCTTTACAACTCAGCTCTCATCTACATATGGAAATGAAAATGTGTACACAACCATTAAGTATGCCTTGGGATTGAATCCCATCATTTAAATGAAATTGCCATGAGAAGGGCAACATAGAGTCATCATACACTACAATAGGAAGTAAGATTTGAGCAGTATGCAGTTATTCAACCCAAATAAACTATAGAAGCAAAACACTTACAAGAAATATGTGTAATTCTGGCACATTTGAACACCGGAAAGGCAGGCTGAATTCTAAGATGCACAGAGCAGGAAGATGAAACACAACTCTGAGGGTGTGAAATTGTTAAGGAATCCATATAACACTCATGAGAAACAAGCACTGTTATTCCTGACTTATTCATGTAGATTTTACCAGGCGTTACTTTTTCGTTTACTTGCATTACTAACAGATTTCATGTAGAGGAAAAGAAGAAAAGGAAGGATAAAAGATATACGCTAGTGCATGGATATGGGAAATAATATGAAATTTTACCAGTTTGCAACTGTTTTAAGTTTTTTTTTTCTTTGCATAGATTGGTATTGTAATCAGAATCAGTAAGTTATTCAGCACCCAATCTGTTAGATGTAAAGCTCCCCCTCTCTTTATTTTCCTTGAAGTAACATTTTAATTAAGTTAGTGAAATGCTTTTTAAATTCCAGCTAACTGTTGATTCTAGACAGAAATTTTACAATAAAAGGACACGAAGAAGAAAATAAGACTCATAAAACACTGACAATAACTCAGCTTTAATTTTCTGTTAAAGAAATATTCCAAAACTGAAAAGCGCTACTTATTCATTCAGATTAGTGCAGCAAAAGAATCACAAAACCAATAATCCTAAACAGATCTTTCTCATCAACCTACTATGTACCTTGGCTATTTTAGCAGAGCTGATTTTCATCTGAGATTTACACGTTGAACAAGAAAGCAGTAAAAACTGACCAATAAAATTAGCTATTATTTCTTTCATGCAGAAAAACTGAACTCTTAAGATGGCAGGTACCTATAATACAGTGGTGAAATCCAATTTTTTTTTACTACCGGTTCTGTGGGCGTGGCTTGGTAGGCATGGCAGGGGAAAGATACTGCAAAATCCACATTCCCATCCCACTCCAGGGGAAGGATATTGCAAAATCTCCATTCCCACCCCATTCCTGGGTGAAGGATATTGCAAAATCTCCATTCCCACCCCACTCTCAGCCAGTCAGAGGTGGTATTTGCCGGTTCTCCGAACTGCTCAAAATTTCTGCTACCAATTCTACAGAACCTGTCGGAACCTGCTGGATTTACCCACCCCTGCTATAATATCTTATTTATTTTATAGATGGCAGATTTCCAAGTGGAAATCAATTGGTTTTAACCTGGGGAAAAAATACTATTGGGAAACTTGATTGGTGCTGTCAGAACTTTAGGCCACATTTGAAGGGAGCACCCTGTGACAGATTTTTGTTTTCCAGATGGCTCTACTAGGAAGAACAGGAATAAACAGTTCCTTGTCAAATTCCATTTTAGTAGCACAAAATAAACAATGTCCTCATTTAGATTTTAAAGGATGGAAGAAGCCATCATAATAATGAGGAAGATCTTATTTTAAATCTGTATGGACAAAGAAATATGTTACAGTATTGTAGTTCTATAGTTAGAATTATATTCTAAGGTCTCTATTCTGTTCTGAATATTCTGAATAAAGAAAATTCTGTACATTCCATTATTAATCTTACTATTCTTTTAAAGAACTGGAATAAAATGAACAATTTATGATATTTCCACCTTAAATTAAAAATGAGATTTTATGGCTTTGAATCTAAGCTATGGAAGTAAGGATGTCAAATCCTGACTATTAGAAATATTTTAATTTTCTTGAAAATCAATTGATTTAAACACTTTACTTTAATTTCATAATCATGGAATTACTTTAGTTTTTAAACAATGTAATTATTTAAAACTATGTTCAAACTATAGTTGTGTGCAAAGGTTTAGCATTGTTGGTTTTGTATTGTATGGTTCAATGAACAGGGAATGGCAACATGACTACATGTTACAAAGATAAATACAATAACCTTTTTAAAAAATTGCATGCACACTTACTGTTTTTCTACAATTATTCACAGATTCAATATAAAATCATGAATAAGGCAGGTGCAGATGTTTGGATATTCTCCAGTTGATATGGTCCTTTAAAATAAACCAATAAAGTTGTTAATAAGGCCCCAAAAGGTAACTGACTCATTAGGTATACAATTAGCCAGAAGAAGACAATCCCACAGGTGTACAAAACTCTAACTCCTTTAACCTTGCAGGTTGTGATAATTGTTATATGTCTAACCACCATGAGGTCCTCTAAATAGCTGTCCAAGGAACTCTGAACTGTGTGGTCTTACTGCTAGTTTGTTCTGCTTCCTGTGCAAATAATCAAGACTAGCATAGTTGGGAAACAATTTAAGCCACCCTGTTTCCCCCAAAATAAGACATGCCCTGATAATAAGCCCAATCGGGCTTTCGAATGCATGGCAATCAGGCCAAGTGCTTAATTCAGGGTTCCAAAAAATATAAGACAGGGTCTTATTTTTGGGGAAACACGGTACTATTTACAATTATGGAATGGAGTATCTTAAGGGCCAACCCACAATTTGATCTCTAAAGCATGGGATGGGTTATTTGAGGGGCTGCCTCTCCCCAGTTATATCTTCATGTCCCATCTGATCCAATAGAGAAGGCATGCTGCAGGTTGTATTGACTAGAGAGTTTCCTTTGGCAGATCCTTTTCTGCTATGATCCCATAATTTATGGAATATCCCTCCCCCACCTCAAGGGAGGCCAACCTCATCTTTTAATTTTCCAAAGTCCTTCAAGGGCTGGTTAAATATTGAGATGGCGCCTGGGTAATTAACATTTTCTCTTTGCTTAATCTCTGTTCTGTTTTTTGTGCCTTTATAATTTTAATGTTTTTGAAAAAGATATTAATATTAACGTACTTTAATACCTTGTAAATTACCCTGTTGTACACCACCCAGAGTGACTTGAATGTGAGATGGATGGTTATATAAATGTGACAAAGAAAGAAAGAAAGAAAGAGGAAGGAAGGAAGGAAGGAAGGAAGGAAGGAAGGAAGGAAGGAAGGAAGGAAGGAAAGCAAGCTATTCTGAATGTTTAGAAAAACGTATACCAGATTATATAGAAAGATAAGTCAAAGGCCAAGAGAAATCCAGAGGAGAAATGAAGAACCTCTTTTGCCTGGAGCTTATTTTCTTCAGCTTGCTGTCCCAAGCACTTTACTGCCATCTGGCAATTGAGGTACTAATAGAAACACAGCTTTTAATATTTGCAGGAGAGGCTGTTCTACAGATGCCCCTACCCTTCTGGCTTGTTGGAAAAGGACTGTGGTGTTCCTTCCAGGCATTTGAGCTTCACATACTCAGTATTTTAGAAACTTTTTCACATCTCTTTTGCCAAGCTTTTAATTTATATTTATATATATATATATAATTTCCTTGGTAATTTTAATCTGTGCTTTAAAATTGTTTTGATGAATTTGGTTTTTCTTTTGAAAAGATCAACCATCCTGCATAGTCATCAAAATAAGAAAATAGAGAAAGCCAAGAGGGAAAAATATTGACTTCTGATAGAGGAATTCTCCACTCAAAATCTCTTCTGCCATTCTCTGTATCTTCCTATGTGAGCAGCTGATGCATGGTTCAAACAGAATGCTCCCTTTGGAAAAAAATCAACAATCTTTGCTCAGTCATAAACTCAATTTTCAATCTTGTCATGAAATGTGTTTTTGTTTTAAAAAAGAAAATTACTTTGTCATTTAAAAGCACTAACCAATGATAACAGTGATAACAATAATAATAAGTAATAGACCACAGAACAGGAGCAATGCAGAAAGCATTATGATTTAGTAATACTTGTACAGAATATAGACAGATCATACAATCCTATGTAAGTATTCTTGGAATAATGTTTTGCTAGGTTCAGTGACCATCACTCCCAGGTAAATGTGCATTCAGTTTTTCAACAAACTGATAACTTCCAAGTCATCATTTCCCCTTTCCAATTTCTTCTTTACTTCTATCGATAGCAATAATTAACATTTCTTGGCTGTGAAAGGATTAAGGGTTGACAAGAGCCACAGTGATCACATTAGCTTGCTGTATTTTAAGATCTCATTGTGACCAAACAGCAGGGAAGAGATTCCATCTTCATTGATCGTGAGCTTCTTGTTTCTCATTGATTTATTTGTGCCCTGTCTAGCTCTATCGATAATTCAAGAAGCTTCTCTCTGATTCTGACTATGCTGTGATGCTATGTTGTGTACTCAAAAATATGTACTCTGTTCAGCTCCTTAGAATGTCTTTGGTGCATGAAAACACTGATAGGATTGCAACCACAGAAAGGACTGGAAAAGCAAAAGGGGTAGAGGTGATTTCATTGGACCTTTAGATTGCACCTAAGATGTCAAATGCAGGAAATCAAGAGTCAAGGTGGTTCAAATGAATCCAGGTTTATTACATGCTAACATTTCTACAAGAATCTGAAGTACTATCAGTTAAACAAATTGGCAATAGATAAGAGTCAATGGAATTCAAGGTTGGCTGGACTTAGATCTCTGGTGAATATGAAGGGACTTGAGACTGATGACACACCTGACCTTTCCCTCAGGCTCACCCTGGTCATCTCCTACCTAAGACTTTTGGAAAGATCAAGAACAAAAAAAGAGAGACGTTTGTTCTGTGTTGCAGAAATGGATAAATCCAAATCCATGATGAATTGGAATGATTTTGTAAGTAGATTTCCATTTTTCTGGAGCAGAGCAGATGGTCGTCATCTCTTCTGCTAGGATTCAAAATCTTTGATTAGGTCTGCTGGTTTTGGAGCACTGCCAACAATCCCAATGTAACAAAGGAAAGTTGAGGCACTTTGGATTCAGTGACTGAAAGGTCAATCCTTAAATCTGAATGAATCTTGTGATGATATGCTTCATTGCTTTTTTTCAGAGAATCTTGGGAGAGGTGGAGAAATTCTCTAAGAGTTTCATTATTTCCTTCATCTCCCTGTTCCCCATATGATTTCATTCCTAGGTAATATATTTTTGCTGCCGAATACAATTTTGGGTTGCTTAAGATAAATTAAAATGGCATAGCTCTCCTAAACCTCACTCTAATTTCTAGGAAATATGGTATGCCTCATCCATTAAGCAATCAAGGTATGCTCCCATTCTGAGGAAAAGCAAATGTCATCCCATTCTGAGGAAAAGCAAATGTCATCCCATTCTGAGGAAAAGCAAAAAAGAAATTAATATAAGTAGACTGTAAAGTAGATTACTAAAAGCTTCAAACGTTCTCTGTTGAGGAGGAATATTGGTGCTCTCTGAGCTTCATTGTTTTCTTGCAGATGTTTCATTAGTCAACCAGTTAACGTCATCAGTGCACTTGGGATTGATTACTAAGAAATTTAGCACATTCCTGTCCCTTCAAGCGGAGAATGTCAATGCAAATCTATCAGTGATGATAGGAACAAAAAATTATCACCATTTCTGGAACCCCGCACTAAAACACAGAAGCATAGAGGTCTTGATCTGAGCACCAAGTCCAATCAAATTGCTCTACAAATGAATGAATTATTACAAGGCTCTTGATCTGGTCTTTGTTGATTCATTTATGTTCTATCTGTCTGCAGAAGGCTGCGGAAGGTTGGCATACCTGAAGTGTTCCTTATGTTATCCCTCTTAACATAACAACAGCCCTGTGAAGTTGGCCTGAGTTGATATGACAGGCTTCAAATCACACAGTGAGCTTTATGATTAAGCAGGGATTTGAATTTAAATGTTCCAGGTCCAGCCTAACCTACATTCTTCTATTACAGTGATGGTGAAGCTATGGCATGCATGCCGGAAATGGCACGCAGAGCCATCTCTCTGGGCATGCCAGCCAATGCCCATTGCTCTTCTGGGTTCCGGCGTGCACATGCCAGGAAGACCAGCCAGCTGGTCTTCACATGTGCATGCATGCCAGAAGCTCAACTTCTCGGCACGTGCATGTGCACCAGGGAGTTGCTCTTCTGGTTTCCAGCACTCCCTGGCATTCCCCCGCATGCCCACACGCTCCTGTTTCGGCACTTGGTGCAGAAAAAGTTCCCCAACACTGTTCTATTACAAGTGCTATAACATCAAATGTATCTCTTCTGGTAGAAACGATTTTGGAAAGAAAATTTGCTTTTATTTTTTCTATTCCACCCATATAGAAATCAAACTTCTGGAAAGCAGATGCTGGCTTACAAAGGTAAAGGTTCTCTAGTGACTTTTCGGCTTCTGCTTTTTTTTTTTTAAAATATCCTCACTATGGGCAGTTGCCCAGATGAAGCAAAAGAATCTGTCCCCATGCACAGAGACAGATGTCACAGTCATGAGTCATCAGTAAAACCTAAGCAGGCAGCAAAGGGGGTAATATTACCTAATAAAATGCCTGTCTCCAGGGAAAATTAAAAGTGCTTTGCAAATCTATGTACATCCTGTTGTAGGCAAAGGTGGGTAAGTAAATGAGGGTAATAACTTGGCTGCAATAAATCTGACATAAGATCTAAAGAAGCTTCAGCCACCTTCCCAGCCCAAATAGTTAAGCGGCAGGAGAAGCGCTACCGGATTAAATATTTATGCCCTCCTTTTTAGCCTCCTAGCTTTAAGACCGTCTTTAGAAAGCTGGTGCATTGGGCGGATCTAAAATAACAATGGGATGTGATTAAAGCTTGTGTCAGTTGGAAATAAGGATCACTGAATTGAGGGAGCCTTTGAATAAACATGCATCCAACTGCATGCTCAAACTAATGGATTTACTCATCCTACAAATATCCAAGTTATGGTGTGTGTGTGTGGGGGGCGAAGACACAGTGCAAATCCTCCATCTTTTGGAGGAGTGAGAGTATTGTAATTATGCTGCACCTTTCAATAGTCGGAGCAAGGTTCATGGACTAGCAGTGATAAAGAATGTGGCCCAGGAGATATTTCTGCTGGATCTCCAAACATGGGCCCATCTATAGCTTCTGGCTGAAAGCAACATTCTCACATATGAAGAGAAGAGTGGAATCTGCATCTGCCCACTTCCAAATATACATCCTAAACATAGAACAGAAGTTTGGAGAAATATGCCAAATTTTACATAGATATGGACAATAAATGTAGAAATTTACACACGCTCAATATTTATGTACAATATAATCTTTGCAAGGGGTACAATGAGAATCTCAGCAAAAACCAACCCCTCTATTCCAAGATACCAGGCAAAAACATTTTTCACTCCTACTTGGTGTTCTAAGGAAGTGAAATTGAGAATTTTTACAAGATACGAGTTCAGAGCACTTCCTAATTCACTGAACTCGACTTGAATAAAGATAAGTTGCAAGACTTTGAACTTGGTCACATGATTCAAATTTTCCGGGAAAAGATTTGTTTTTTACTTCTTACTTCATGGGATGAAGTAGGTCCAGAGCCATTTAATAATTCTATAGTACTGATTTCTTTGTCAAACACCTCCCCCTTTATATTGTCAGCTTCTTCACTTGTGGAGGAAGATTAAAACTGGGAAACACAATAGGTTCCCCTTGGCAAAAGAAAACCTCATTTTGGACCATGTTGGACAATAGACTATCCTTTCCTTGTTAGTAAAATTTAAGTGATTAAGCTACTGCTGCCTATGCACTAATTTAAATGCAAAATAGTTCACATGACAAACTCCCTTTGTGACCTTGCATTTGAATGGTATATGTAATAAAAATGTTAATTTGCAAGTATAATATTGTGGAATTAATCAAATTATAATGAATATTAATCTGAGGCCAAATATTAAAGAATTTGATGTATAATAAGAGAAATATATTTCATAAAAGGTTTGCCCTGCTTAATAAATATTGACTATTTCCCTCAACATGGTTATTCTCCTTCTTATAAAATGAATTCTGAGAAAAGCATTACCTGTGCTGAATTACTACTGGAACATTCAAACCTCCTCACCATCTTCCACAATTCTCTTTTTTGATACAGGGCATGAGAGTGGGTCATAATTCCCATTGGGTCAGATGCAAGTAACCATAAATTTGTTTCCCAAAGAATCTGTGGTAGAACCCCCAGGTAGAGTTGGGGGAGATGTGAAAAGGCTGGCGAGTTTAGAGTTCTTGCTGGGAAGGAAACAATAGAGGCTAAACCTACTTCTGCTACTACCACCCCCCACCCCCATCCCCAGAATTCCTGAAGGCTTTATTTGGTCAATTCCCAAGAGAATGTAGTCAGTCCAGTGAGCTTCTTGGAAATAGGCAGGCAGCAATAAAGAATTAAATAGGCAGGTAGCAATAAAGAAACAATTCTGATCAGCTCATGGTGTCATTCTGGTTACTTTGCACCTGACAGAATCTCTAGAATTGAGATACTAGCTTACAGGATGGGGAGAAAATGGATTTCTCTTACATTTATTGGCATATTCACTGAAACTGACCAACATCGTCTTTAACAGGGAATGTTGAATACATCAAGGATATGGCTGAGGTTTAGGTATGCCTAGATTATACCTGCTTTATCTTACTCAAAAGTATTACCTGAAAGCTTTGATTGTTCAGCATCACAATGGGTGGAGGATATCAATACCAAAGGGGGGGGAGGTATTTTATTACATAAAATAATTTATAACATATTTTCCTAAATCTTACTAAACATAGATATTTATATAACATACCATATAATATGACTTGAATGGCATAACAAAAAAAAATGTGATTGGGCCACTGAATATTATTGCAACATTTGTTAAAGATTCATTCCTTGAGGCTACCCATCATTTCAGAATCACTTGGATTGACCGCTGCCAATCTAACCCTAGATTTAGCAGAGCACTATGGGATTCTGGGAAGATGACCAGGAACTATAAAATAATTATAATAATAACATTTCAGTGACGCTTTGAAGGCAGTTTCTGCTTTGAGAGAAAGAGGCTTTCAATTGCCCAAGTCCTCCACCTTCATATTTGAAATTGTGCAGAATCTAACTGAGCTATTTTAACTATTTAACAGACCTCTTTCTGTTGTACATTTGTAGCACTGACAGAGTACTGAAAGCCAGTCAGGCTGTGACCTACCCAGCCAAGATTGAGCAGAGATGTCACGGCTAATCATTGATCAATTATTGCCCAATGACTGTGATCAAAATGAAACCTGGTCACTTCTGCCACAAGCCACCACTGGAATAGGAGGAAGCCACTGCAGGTGGCTGCTAGATTGATGGCAGACTCCACTGCCAACCCCCCTTGCTCTCTGCTTTCCACCCATCCATCTTTTTGGTTATCATATTGATGTATTTTCTTTGTGTTCTTTTGTCATTGTTTATTTTATTGTTCTATTATTTTACTTCTGTTTACACGCCCTTCATTTTTCTTCCTTTTTATTATTGTAAGCTGTCTAGATAGCCCTAGAGTGAAATGGGCAGTAAATAAATGTAACAAACAAACAAATAGTAAGAAAGAAAGTAAATAAGTTAAACTTGGTTAATTGAATTGTGCTGGATCAGAATCTAAGCTCTCATCCAAAAGGGCTCAGTGACCCAACAAATGTTACTATTATCTTCTTTCAAAGGAAAAATCCTTGCTTTTGAACAACCCTGTTCAAAAAAAGTCTCTAATAATCTTAAAAATACACTCTGAAGATATATGGCCCCTTATATAAGCAAACATTTCATTACAGCCAGAGTCAGGCTGTTAACCATTCAGAGCCACATGCAGAATCTGGAAAGGGCCATAATAGCAATGCTATGAAGAAAAGCTGAATTGAGACATATTACTATTATTACAAATTACTTGGAAAAGGAGAAGAAGGTTCTAAGACTATTAAATGTTTTCTCAATGCCAAATTTAGTCTGACTTTTTACCCATCATTAGTCATTCTCCATCTAAGATAAGTATGGTATTATTCTTAAAATGAAAAAAAAAAAAATAGAGCAGGAAAAGTGAAGACATTTTCATAATTAGAATAATTTCAGGAAAAAAGATCTTTGAAACTTTGTGACATTCAATCATTAGAAATTAACCACTTCCCCCCACCCCCCCAAAAAAGGCTCAGATGCCACCAGTCACTATTATAAACAATTAATAAGAAAGACAGTGTCTTATTGTGAGTTTTCTTTCATGTAATATGGTTGTTAACAATGGCTTATGGCGAAGGTACAAGTAGTAAAGATCATCACTGATATATTGCAATACATTTAATCATTAGATGATACCAAGAAACAAGTGTTCCTAAATCTAGGGCACCAAACAGTGTGCCTTATTATAGAGGTTTCCATGGAAATTTGGATGAATGTGGACATTTTGCTCTTTTTTTATTGGCTAATGCCAAATGAAATGGAAAAACTAGCTCTTTGGCAGTAAGAATATGAAAGTAAATAAGTCACACACAAATCTATCAATCATCTGCATATGGCTACCCTTGCTCTTCTGTGCAGGATGATGATGATGTTGTTGTTGTTGATGATGATTTATATATATTTTAGTCATTAGTAGGTTATAATCAAACCAAATTTACAGAACTGACAAATGATGCATTTTAGAATCCAGGATTCCAGGATTCATTTTTCTCAAATGCTGGTTGGAAGAGAGGGCCCATACGAGCAAAAAATAATGCTAAGATTGTGATCTAAGGCATTTAACTGTACAAAACTCCACAAAGTCTGTATGCAGACTTTGCATGGTCTGCAGGAGTACATTTCAGTTTATTTTTATTTTTTTCTAGGATTTTAAAAAGGGTTTTGTTGTTGTTTGGTTAGTTTTGTTTACCTGCTGCAATGACAAAAGCTGGTTGTGTCCTTTGCACTTGAAATGCTTTTCATCTAGGTGTGTAAAAAGATACCCCCCCCCTTTTTTTATTGTTCTCCCAAGCGAAGCCAATCCATTCAACTTGAAGCAGACAAGAGTATTAGAAAGTGCAGACCCATAAAAGATGCAGAGGCATATTTCCACATCAGAAGTAAATGAGGCAAAGGCAGGGCTTGACTACCCATGTTTCTGCAAATGCATCCCTTCCATTATGCATGCTGAAAAGACGGCTGGTGGAATCCATTCAGATATTTTCAGGAACGAAAGCCCAATACTGAAAATAAACACTGGTGCCCTTTTCTCTCTCATTCCCTCCATGCAGACGGTTCATTGGAAAGTTCTAAGGGCTCTCAAAATCTACAAGGTGCCTCAGAAGTGACAGAAACCTCAGATAAATCCCTTTCTTGAGAGGTACAAAGGCTGACAGAAGAACAAAGTTCTTGCCAAGTCCAACAATAAGTTCCTTTCTCCTTAGCAGCAGGAGAAATAAAACAAACTTGTCTAAAAGCCAAAAATGCCAGCTCTGATTTGAACCACGGCTCCCCATGGCTTAAGGCACTGCCTGAACCCCCCTGCTGTAAATTGCTGTCAAACATCGGGCCATACAAGAACTGGAGAATGGGAGATAAGCCCCTTTTGTCGTTAGCATAGCAAGAACAACACTAGAAAATAACTTCAATAATTAATAACTACTGCACAGCTTTAAAGTTTGTCCTGAATGAAAGGGCAAGGATGTTTCAGCCAACATCTAAAACTGACAGGAAAATTAATTGTGACCAAAGCTTAGTTTGGTTCTTTTTTCTCATATCTATGAAGAGAAGCATAATTTACATTCTTTTTTCATCTGACATAATTCTCCTTGCTCTGGTTCACCCAGGCTATTATCTAGGTTTATAACACTATGTGTCCTGAGGGTGTGTTTGGAAGAGGACTGAGTGGTGGATTGGATCTAGTTTTCTTCATTACTTTGGATTTCTGCTCTCACAGCTTCCCGATGAATATTTCCAGGCTGCTTTTTGAAGGTCACATACTATTATTAGCCTTCCATTCATTAATCACAATTAGCCATCCTTGTTCATTGCAAGATGGGAGATGATAGCATTAAATAACCCACTCAGCCCATTTTATCACCCAAACAAGCAATGGCTTGCTCTGTCAACACAGTTCTTGAATCTTTGGATTCTTTCTTCTTTGTACATCCATAACATCCTGATTTCTTCTTTATTTGTTTATTTATTGGTTAAACTTATTTGCCACCTATCTCATTGTGGGGCTCCTCTAGGCAGCTATTTATCCTGCTCCATTGTACCTTGCTATTAATGTCCTCATTCCCATTTTTTTAAAAGGGGAATCGACTCAACAATAGAGAAAACCCACATCCAATAAATGGGAATTTCTTTTTGCCACCTCCTTTTATGCACTTTCAGAAATGTGGAGGAAGGCCATCCAGAATATTCTTTTGTCCATTGTTAGTTACAGTCTATTTTTAAAGCATAGCCAGATGTAATGGAATTACTAGACATGCAAGATTGCACTAAACAGGTATTCCATACTTAGTTACACTTTTTTTTTAGTATCTTCCACCAAGAAAAAAATACCCACGAAAAACATTTCCTCACTTCCTAAATGCAATAGACTGTCTTAGTGTGTGGTCACTATTGGAAGAGTTAGAATGTATTTAAAAAACAATAAAAACAAAGGGAGGGAGGGAGAACCTTATTTGTATTAAAATCTGGTGCCAAAAAAATGGCTGAGAAAAAGGGATAAATAATAGATCATTTTTATCTTTTGTAGACTTCAACTGATGTGATGAGCCCTGTGTTTCAAAGAATTGCAATATTTTATACCTCTGCTAAAATTGAAAGATACTCAAGAGTTCCCCAGAATAAACTTTTATATACAGCTTTTGTACATTTCTGAGTGATGATTCATTTTCCTAATCGTGAAAATCTTTAAAGTTCATTGTTAAGATGAATCAATCATATATTTAGAGTTACTTTGGCTACTTTTGTATGGCCAGTCATATTTATTCATTTAATGGGCACAAAGAGTTATTGGAATTAATAATTGTACCTACCCACAAAGCAAGATATATACCCTGTTTCCCCCAAAATAAGACATCACCTGATAATAAGCCCAATCGGGCTTTTGAATGCATGGCAATAATGCCAAGCGCTTATTTCAGGGTTCAAAAAAATATAAGACAGGGTCTTTTTTTCGGGGAAACATGGTATTTAATATGGTATTTATTGCTCATCTCTCAGATGGAATTAATTTGGATTTACTATCATTTCTTTTAAGCAATCATCGCTTGATATAGTTCAGAGACATTTGGGTTCCTAAATTCTGCAGAAGTGTGAGACCATTTAAAATGAGCCATACCTGGAGTTAGTCTCTCCCTCCCTCCCTCCCTCCCTCCCTCCCTTCCCCCTCTCTCCCCCCTCCCTCTTTTCATTTCTTTTTTTTCTTTTCTTTCTTTTTTTCTTATCAAATTTATAGAGCTGCTGGCATCATCCAAGATAACTCTGAGAGGTGCACAACAATAAATAAAAAGCAAGAATATAAAAGCAGCAAATAGAAATATTAATAATAAAATCCTTAAATGAGATGGAAATTCGTCTCATAGTTGAAAGAAATATAAATGCCCCCCTCAACAAGGGGTCTACAATTCCATGGAAGTGTCAAGCCTATTCACAAAACCAGGTCTTCAGGCCTTTCAGACTAT